AAAAAAAAAAAAAAAAAGAAATCCAAAATAATAGACTTTTTTTTTTTAACGCAACAGCACATTTTAATTACCCGTAACACCATCGAATGGGCACAGCAGTGAGTAAGAAGTTTACCTATCACAACTGTCTGGCCATCGGTTGAACTGAATTCAAATTTCCTTTGAGGAGTGTATTTTTTTTCCCATTCACCTAGGCTCTCAAGTTCTTCCTGAACATGTGTATAAGGAAAGTTCACGAGGAGCAAATATGGTTGTCGTGACATCCACAATCTCAGACACTATCTGCCATTTGTCTAATGCCCTGACACTGCACTTTGTAACCAACCAGTATGCGTCACGGAGTGGAGAGAGTTCTCCGTTTGACTGTGTCACCATAGTACTGCAGTCACGTGAACATGAAACTGTTGTGGGGATGAACTTATCCCAGTAAATCACTCACATCAGACCTCGCAATTTTCAATCTAACAAAAATGTATTCACGCTGATTTCAAGACAGCAGACGCTGTTGTAATCAAAGTCACATGGAAACAATCGGTTAGGCACCTTGGAGTGGCTGCTGCATCAGAAAGACTGAACACGAAAGAATGAACCGTGACGTCGATTTTGATAACGTAACATAACACAGAAAAAAACAAATACATTATGATGGCAGGCTTAAATGGTCTCCACCTTCGCAAGCTGCGAACTAGAGTGAATCATAGATATCTGATTAAACTATCCTTGAAAATTATAACTGACTTTCTACCCCACTAGGACATCACACAAGCGATAAACACCCGATGACACAAAGTGCCACCATATGGATCAGGATCGCCGTGGAGAGGTCCCAGAAACCGCGTTCAGACAATTGGCCATATTTATGGCCTGCCTATATTGCGGCCCCTGTCAAAAGCCAGGGTGGGGCTTCAAATTAAAAAGACTTCCGTCCTAAAAAAGACGAAACTATATTGTATAAAAGAGAGAGAGAGATAGAGATAGAGAGAGAGAGAGAGAGGAGAGAGAGAGAGAGAGAGAGAGAGATGGGTTGAAAATTATGAGTTACATGTACTTAAACACAAGTATAGATTAAAACTTCATTTTGATTGGCTATTCGAATATATTGCTCTTTTTTTTTTTTTTTTTTTTTGATTGGTTGACTTACCGATGGATCTTCTAAAGACCGAGTTCTACCATAAAAATAATTAAAAAAAATTTTTTAATTGCCATTTCGAAGATTATGTTTAAATATAAACTAAAATGCTTTTTAAATTGTGTATAAACGTGAAATATGTGATCGTGAAGCAGAGATGAATCAACGACATGACCGTCAAACATATGAAGGAGATTGACAGTCCACACGGGAATGCATAAGTAATCAATATATGTATGTGCCTACGAAACTGCTTCGCTAAACAAAATTTTTTTAGAAATTACCCATACTGAACACTAAATATGTGTGGCTAAAGCAACAAAACGGTTGAGACTAAAGAATGTTTCAGTTTTATCAGAATAAGGATTAAAGAAATAGTTTGACCATCTGACAAGAAATCTCTGTCATCAACTGCCACAGTTAGCAAACTGAAGTAATATAATAAACAAAGGACGCAAGGCAAGGCAAGGACAAGACAACACAAAATATGGAACGACATTGCCAAGAACATCACCAATTTAAACCACGAATTAGAAATAACATTCAGGCCATTTCTTATATCTCCCCTAAACTTTAACCGATGTAACTGGAGAAAGGGGTAAATAAATGATTTACATAATTATAGTTTAACAATCACAAACAGAATGCTATTACGTTATATATACAGACTCATTAGAAGAACTATATGTTAACAATCGCATACATTAAGCCATTACGTGACATAGACAGGCACATCGGAAGAACTATATGTTAACAATCACAAACAATAAGCTATTACGTGATTAGACAGACTCATCGGAAGAACTATATGTTAACAATCGCATACATTAAGCCATTAAGTGATGTAGACGTATAGACAGACTTACTGCCAGAACTATATGTTAACAATAGCAAACAATAAGCCATCACGGGATACAGGCAGACTTACTGGCTGAACATGGCAAATAGTTCCGAAGATGGCTGGTGGATAGTACAGAGAATGACGCGACCCCTGGAAGCCATTTTCTGTGAATTGAAAATTAAGAAACGTGGATTTTTGTCGTGGTATGGGACGTCGCAGGTCGACCCAGCCTAAAATGGGTACTAGGATGGGCTGTCCTGGGAAAGTAAAGACAGCTGGCGTAATGCTGACCACATTACTCACAGAGTGCTGATGGTCTGTAAAAATATGGGACGCTCTGCCCATATGCCCGATGCGCCAAAAGGCGTGAAAAGGGAACTTTACTTTTTTTTTTTTTACACGTGTATTTAAAGATATGTCTTTAAGAAACAGTAATGAAATGCTGACGCCTTATTGATAATGCTCTTAGATGTTTGTTTGAATATGTAGTGGAGTATCACTAGAGGAAGACGCGTGTAATGTATCCCGCCAGTAATTGTATCGTTTATCTATAGTCATTTCTTCTTGTGCGTTCGCCTTGAACTTGTCCAGTGCCAAGCAACGCCTGATGTTTGAGTGACTCTATCCATTGATTTCTCTTCATAGCATAAAACGTTTTCCTAATTTAAAAATGTAGTGAGAACATAAGAAAGAAAACTGGTTTTCCCACCAATCACCCGCTCTGTGTAAATTGCTACTTTGAAAGTGACGCACTCAATATTTGTCATCATTGTTATTTCGTCACCGTGACTTATGCTATTAAGCCTTCTAAGCACTGAAAGAGCTGAAAGGCCTGTTGTTGTGTTGTGTTGTAGTTTACAGATAGGATGTGACATTTTCGCCTCTGTTGGCTCAAAACATCTGGTTTCAGAAATTTCCTAATTATTTGACTTCTGCGACAAAGTTTCTATTTTAAATTAGTATAAAGAACTGTCTTTGAAAAGTAAAGGCTATAAGCGTGTTGTTGACCACTCTAGTCATCGAGTGCTGGTCGTTCTATAACAATATTAGTCTTACTCTATATGCCCGATGCGCCAAATGCACGAAAGGGTTGTTATTAAGGTGTGAGATAAGCTGTAAAGGAAATGCGACGAAAGAAACAAGAAGAGATAGAGTCATCTATGAAAAACTAAAAACAATGATGGGCACAATACCAGGAGATGATTTCAAAGAACATCAAAGAATCAAATGGTTTGGTCATATGTTCATACTGGAACCAAATCAGTCAGAAGCTACAGCGTACTACCTGAGAACACAAAGCTATAGGACAAGTGGTGGGAATAACCTCCCCTTGATACTGTTGTGTTGTTAGTTCGTCTCCACAAAGACCCCGGCAGAAACGTCGACTTTGTTTTGTGCAAACTGTTCTGCTTTCCATTTTGTTAAGCTTATAAGTCACAGTTCACTGGATTAATTACAAGGTAAGAGGCTGACCAAGAAAGAAATAAGTGGAGATATTAAAAGAGACACTACAGCAACGCCATTTGACATTACCACAGCTGCGCAACGGTCCAAATACAGGAAACTACATCTAACTCCTCTCTATGCCACTTTACGGCGTAAGTAGTAGAACATAAGAAGAAAGAAAACGTTACATGGCTCAGCTAAACACAAGAGGTAGAGTATACCTGCAATGTCTGCACAATGCTCTGTGCCATGAAAGTGTCCAGACTTGATGTTGGCTCGTCACAGAAGAAGATGGGAGGATTAGTCAGGGCTTCCGAAGCAAAGGCGAGCCTTTTTCTTTCACCACCAGAGATTCCCTTCTTGGTTCCATGCGCTAGTCCAATGCGGGAATTAGCACATCCTGTTAAGCCCATCTTTTGAAAACAGATTATATAAAAAATGAAATTTTGAAGGTTTATTTGGTTTTAATTTGCAACAAAAAGTATTCTTTTGTTTTTAGTTCTGCCAACGGACCCCTTTCAGATTATAAAATTTCTTGGATATATCAGAGAAGATTCATATGTTTACACACCGACTAATCGTTTAGTAAAACTGCAAAACCTGCTTAGTGGGGATGAACGCACGGTAATAGATAAGCCGTTGACTCGCGCTCTGAAAGTCGCTGGTTCAAATTTCAGAGTGCATTCGTTAAAAAACAAAAAACAAACAAATCGCCTCAGTGAAGTAGATCTTTTCACCTTAAGCGACCCTTTAAAAAAACAAATTGTAGTTTCTGTGGCTCAATGGTTTCTACATATTCTTAGCACATCAATGATATCTTCATGTCTACAGTAGCTTTAGCAAACCCCTACGTTAGTTTTTGTCTTTGATTCACGTACCTGGGTATCTCCACGGCCTGCGGACTCCTAAGCTTAGTTATAATGTGTAGTCTTTTATGTGGTTGTATTATTGAGCATGTTTTAACTTCGATGAAGGCTTTCTAGCCGCAATGTTCATTTTGTCTTTTGTAATTGTCTTTTTATGGCCAGTTAATACTTACTTCTCTTTTTGGTTTGATGTTTTTGACACTTTAACCTCATTTCTTAAAACGGCTTGGCATTTACTGTGACCTCCTATACTTTATCTTGATGTGCTAACTTCTTTGTAGAGCAGTTATTTTGAAAGTCCATAAACCTAACGTCATTAGTCCATTGATAAATTTCGTCTGTAGATTTTCCATGCATCCAGCTACCATAACGACAACACGAATACTATAACCTGATTTATTAATATGCATAGATAGCTGAATAAGAAAGAAACAAACACTGTTTTTTTTTTTTTTTTTTTTTTTTTTTTTTTTTTTGGCCATATATTGAGAAGTGAGACATTTGAGAACATTGTGAAAACTGGAAAGATCAGTGGGAAAAGAGGTAGAGGCAGACCAAGAGATATGATGCTGGATGGGCTGATGGCATAGAGGGATATCATCAAAGCTGTTCCAGGCAACCAGGGATCGTGATCTGTGGAGACGCATGAGCCTCTACACCAGTTGGCAAGGCATATGATGATGCGATAGCTGACAGTGTTTGTGTGTATCTGTATTCTTGTGCGATTATGTGTAAACACTACGAAATGCTAATCTTACCTCCAGAATGACCTCCTCCACCCTGGCTATTCGGGCTCTTTTGTCCAGTCTTTTATCCATACGAAGCAAAGCCTGTGCATTGTAGTATAAATGTATTGAAATATAGTGTCCATGAAATTTAAGGCTGCTTACTTATGTGTACGAGACAATATATTACTATCTCATCAGATATTCCCATCCTAATGTTGGACGCATTTGTTTCATTGTTTTAAAGCCCCTGATATTACTTGAACGGTTGAATCGGGTTTCTGGGACTTGTGCCCGGGTGACCCTCATCTGAATGGAGGCACTTTGTGTCACCGGGTGTCGGTCGCTCGTTGTACGGTTCTGGTGGAGTTGAACGACACACACACACACACACACACACACACACATATTTCGGTAGATACATTACATAATATTATCCCATAACAGATATCACATATACGATCACATAAGAGACTTAGAAAATATTATGACACAATAATCACAATACAAGACTTACAAGTTACTATCACATAAGAGACTCAAAACAGATACCACCAGCTATACCACCAGCTATACCACCAGCTATACCACCAGCTATACCACCAGCTATACCACCAGCTAAGAGACTTAAAGGATACTATTATAAAAAAGACTTCAAAGATACTATCACATAAGAGATTTCAAAGATACTACCACATAAGAGGATTAAAAGATATTATTACGTAAGATGATTTAAAAATACTATCACACAAGAGACTTTAAAGATACTAAACTTAAGAAACTATAAAGATACTAAACTAAAGAAACTTTAAAGATACCAGACGTAAGAAACTTTAAAGATTCTAAACGTAAGAAACTATAAAGATACTAAAAATTAGAGACTTAAAATATGTTACATAACAGACACTGGAAGAAATCACATAAAGAGATCTAAGCGAGACTGTTTCATGGGAGATTTTAGACACTATCACGACAATGACGTTGGATGTACTATCACATAAGTGATATTCGTTATAGTATTACGTCAATGAAGTTAGGAGGCGTGATCGCCCACATCGACCGACAAGACACTGGATGGTAATGATGTTATCTATACGATCACATAGGTGATATAAGCGTACTATCACACAAAGTGATGTTAGATATACTATCACATAATGTAAGGATAGTATCAAAACAGACGGTTGTGTATTTAGAGGCGACAAAGTGCGAGGGGTTCATTGCGAACGGACGACGCTTATTGCAACACAGTCTAGCGTATGATACTACATATAGTTTGAAAATGGAGGCGGAGGCAGTCACAACGGCTTTCCCTTGCCTAAAGAACGAGCCAGGAGATTTCACACACACACGTTGTGATTTAACTGACATATAAAGCATGTTAATAAAGTTGGAGACAAGCATGCTCCATGCAGAGGGGCAAGCATCGCTTCAGATGTTTCGGTTAGTTGGCGTTCTTTGGAGAAAAAATTTCCGGAGAAGCAGGAATGTTGGAAAATGATCAGGCAGATATATTGGCTGTTCTGCACCAATGGGTGGTAAATTTTTGCATGACAAGACTGATCTGATCATGGGGTTAAGGAAAATGTGAACCCTGCGGAGTCACAAGCATATCATTATGGTCTGGAGAGAATGGTACAACTACACTCAAAGAAAAGGCCAGAAAGCGCCATCGGAATTAGAACTCTCAGCTGGCTGATGAAGATGAGGATGGGGCGCTTATGGGAACGTCCCGAGTGCTGTAATGTCAGTTTTTAGCGCAATGCTTACATTATTGATGCAAGATTTGCTATAACCTAAGGGATTATATATACACAATCATATAAGTGATGACAGAGATCATATTTTTTTAAAGAGTTGTAAGAAATATTATTTTAAATGAAAACGTCATAAAATATCTGACAGTAGACGATAGACTGGCTATTTAAAAAGAAGCATTATGAACCATTTAGTTCTGCTGAAAATGTGGTCTTTAGTCAATCTTAATAAGGTTTGTGTGGAGCTGTGTTCTCTCGAAGACTCCACTATTAAGTTAATGTAAATTTGTGTTACAGCCGCAGACGGTAATGTTTTCCTAACTATATTCTTGACCCCAACAAGAAATTGTGGGTGATCTTATTTTGTTCATCTTAGAAGATTTACAGAAATTATAAAATATTGTTTGATAGCCATTTCATTAGCAGTACTTGCTGGTAAATGGAATCCTGCCTGTTGATTGAACTCTGTGTACTATCCTGTCATGCAGACTTAATTCCTGTGATACCTCGGCTGCTTGGTTAAAATTGATTTTCCTAATGTTTCACTGTCGGCTCTGTGGTTAAGTCGATGCGAACGCTTCGTAATGCCGGGGTGTCGGGTTCGATCCCAGCTGCTGGCCATGCGCCTTGCGTTGGTTTCGACAGTGGTATCAAGGGACCGACCGTCCAGTAAGCAATGGCAAACTACTGGACGTAAATTTGCCTAGAGAAACTACACAACAGCCATGGGATGCTAGGGTTGGTTCTCCACCGTCCTGTAAAGGATACGCAACTAACCTTAATGTTTCACTGGAAGAAAAATTTGACAAGACCCGAAGTAAGTATGGATGTTGGAGCGCAGTTAGAATGGAATCTCTCATTGGACTGCCAAGCTAATATTGTGACACATATTTGCAACTGTTTTCTTCTTACTCCTTCTCTGACCGCACCCATCCCCTCCCCCACCTGTCTTCCTCTTCTACTTCTTCTTTTTCTTCTTCTTCTTCTTTTTCTTCTTCTTCTTCGTCGTCGTCTTCTTCTTCTTCGTCTTCTTCTTCTTCTTTCCTGCCCTTCATTTCCTATTGAGACAGAGACTTGCAGTTGACTGGCACCAAGGATACATGTCAAGATTGTTTAGAGCAATGTTTCTCAACGTGGGACCCACGCCCCGCAGGGGACAGTTTGTTGTTAAGGGTAAAAGGAAGTGGGCGGGGGGGGGGGTGGCAGTTTAATTGTTAAGGTAGGCTGTTCAAAAATTGCATGGGGGGGGGGGGTGGAGGGGTGTCCGAATAAAAATTTTAGGAAGGCTTAGGTCGGGCTTTGGAGAGAAAGAAATAATACAGGCACGTCTTAAAACTGCAGGTAACTTGTGTACTCACCCTGAACTGGAGGGTCTCACGGACTGTCAGCGTGTGCATAAACAGATCGCTCTGTTGAACGTAGGCCGAGATGTTTCTGATGCTGGTACCAGTTAGCTAAACAACAAGAAGAGTTTTGTAGAAAGGTTAAATATAAGATAATTAATAACATTTTACACGTGACACATACAAAACCTTAATTATAAAATGGCAGATTTCTTCAACTGGTAATGCTAATGAAATTTTTGATTTGCACAGTTACTTGTAAAATGAATATTTTGTTTCGATAATGAGAACATACACTACATTATCATAAATGTTTAATCTAATATATCCAAAGTAGAGAGATTAAACAGCTTACTAACCGCATTCTTACGCGTATTACCAGTACAGTTTTTGTTTTCACCTTTTTTTAGAATATATGTTGTATGTGTGTTATTTATTTGAAAGCTACAATTAAGTTATGCTCCAGCGCAATCATTTGAACTTATGCCATCAATTGGACCCTTCCAAATCATGCTCTACATTTTTTTCTGAGACTTCAAAAAGATCATAGATGACCCACGACAGAAATCAACGATCTGAGTGAAAAATAAAATAATGTATGAGTAAAGATTTGTTTAAGTAATACTACTGCAGTGGGAACAGATGTTGGGCCTTCGCCGCTTTTTTTTTTCACCCTTCACCCTTCAAAGCACGCGTTTTGAAGTTTACATCTAGTCTGTGATATTTTCAAGGATATTTGGGGGGAAAAAGTGTTGCCTGATGACTGGACTGAAGGAACAATAGTCAAAATCCCCAAAAAAGTAGACTTAACAGACTGCAATAATTGGGGGGGGGGGGGGGGGGGAATTACTCTACTTTCAGTACCAAGCAAAATATTTTGTAAAATCATCATAATGCTGCTTGAAAAAGGAGTAGATAAATGCCTACGAGTGGAGCAAGCAGGATTCAGAAAGGGCAGAGGAACAACTGAGCACATCTTCGCTATACGTAACATTTTAGAACAATGCAACGAATAGCAGAGAGGTATATATATTAATTTTGTGGACTTTGAGAAGGCTTTTGACAGCGTCTATAGAGACGGTCTGTGGAAAATTTTACAACATTATGGAATTTCAGAAAAAAAATAGTCAACATAATTGCTCTCTTCTATAAAGACTTTTCCTGTAGTATAAAAAATTACAATACATCTTTCCCAGTAAAGACGGGTGGAGAACACATCTCTCCTCTTCAACGTTGTGATTGGTTGGATACTAAAGAACACAGTAGACATGACATTGAGAGGCATACGATGGACTCCATTCACCATGCTTGAGGACCTTGATTTTTCAGATGCTATAGCACTCCTATCACATAAACATGAACATATACAAGAGAAAAGTAACAGACTAAACTGCACAGCAGAAATGGTGTGACTGAGAATAAATACAAAGAAAACTAAGATCATGACAAACCGTCCAAACCAACAACCAGTGACCATAAGTAAACAATCACTTGAAAATGTAGAACATTTTACATATCTTGGTAGTGTGGTGTTCCTACTGGGAGGGACAGAGGAAGACATACAGTCACGTCTGAACAAAGCTAGAGCTGCTTTTGGAAGGATGAGGCAAATCTGGAAAACTCTGACTCTACAAGAACATCATTTTGCCAGTTCTTCTTTATGGAGCGGAATGCTGGAGAATGACCAAAAAGGATGCACACAAGCTGTCCACCTTCCACCACACATGTCTACATAGAATTATCAAAATTTTCTGGCCAGATACAATCTCAAACACTAAACTACTTAAAGCCACAAACCAAGAAACTTTAGACAGTATGATTACCAAGAGAAGATGGAAATGGCTTGGCCACGTTATGAGAATGACTTCTGATATACCTGCCAAAACAGCTCTCACATGGACACCAGAGGGAAAGAGAAAGCAGGGGCGCCCAAAAACAACATGGAGACGAACGATGGAAAGTGACCTGAGTGCGGCATCTTTGACATGAACAA